ATTGATTGCACAATATCTCCTTAAGAAAATTATTCACCTCAAGTATTCGAGGTTTGATTTGGAATATGTCCTCCTAGGATAGAATGATCTCCATCACCAGCGTATTGATTCTCAAAACTCTGGTGTCAGCGAACCACTCAACAGCAGTAATGTACACGAAGAAACCCTTTCAGAATCCACACAAGAACATTAATGAAAGTTTGCAAACTTTCAAACAGTCTTGTTGTTCCTGAAGGTTGCAACCTTTAAGAACAGCCATTTTCAAACGGTGAGAATTTTAGATAAAATTGGGAAAGATTTTAAATAAAACGATTCACGCAGATCCGAGTTGGGTTGGGTTAATCAACTAAAAAGTTGAAACGTTTCAATTAATCTCAACTAAATAATTGAAAATATTTATGTTATCAACTAATTAATTGAAAATGTTTTGGGCATTTAATTTAATTTAATTAATTAAATAAATAAATAATTAAGTACTTAAAACAAATTTGTCCAAAAAATAATCTCTCGATCATTTTTCCACGCCGGCGCGAGGGGATCCCTCTTTCCAACCCCTTTAACAATTAATAAGTGTGTCTGAATTTCGGACATAGATTAAGGGGATACTTATGCATTTTCCCTATATAATTTTGTTTGTCTTAATTTATGTGATACAAATAGAATTTTAAGAGTCATTTAACTTTTAAATATATATTTAAAATAAATATTTCAAGTTATTAATTATTGAGATTTATAATATATTTTATGTGGTTTCAAATAACACATGTTACTTCTTATATACTAACTTATATGAAACCGATAAATTTTAAAGAATTGATCAAATTTTTTATATGTCTTTAAAATGTGTTAATTTGTATTATTTCAACATATATATAAAAAAATTAAAAAATTGACAAACAAATTATAAGAAATAGAGAAAAAAAGGACCAAAGCGCTCCTAAATACTAAAACAGGCATGTTGACCGTTGCCTGGTTTGGCATCTCAAACTCCCTCTTATAAGAGAAAATTAGTACCTCGACATGTGTGTCGCACATATATGTCATATTATATGGTTGCATAATATATGTCTATAATTATAATTATGTATAAATAAAAAAATTGATTGTAATATAAATTGAAAGCATGTATAAGATAGTAAATCAAAATAGATACCCTCAAATTTCAAACTATAAGCATAATAAGAATATGTATTTCAAATGAGTTTCATCAATTATACCTCACAATAATTCCAGCAATTCATTGAGAAACTTTCATCGATACATCAACATTCAACCTTGTATATATAAAGAAAACATGAAATGCATAACGACAATTATATCTATATGTTTTAAAACACTATAAAGTCAATGTTCCTTTTTTTTTTTTGCAGTTTAATACAATTGCACACAATAACTTCTATTAAAAAGGAAAGAAAAAAATTAGGAAAAATAATATCATTAAATTGGAATGAAAAATGTAAAATTGTAAAAAGAGGAAGAGAAGAAAAAATCAGAAGAATATATCAACCTAACCATGAATAAGGAAGTATGTTGAGTAAAAGAAGATGAATGAAAAGTATGAGCTGATATATGAAGGAAATTGACAAATATTCAATTTATGCAAAAAATTTATAACTAAGAGCTCAAGATAATATAATTTATTAATTTAATAAATGATATACATAAATAACATATATTGTCCGTAAGTGTAGTTAATTGGATGGTGAAAAGACTGAAACTATTTTTATCTCTTTAAAATATTTTTGAACTTATATTAGTGCTATAGAAAATCATATAAAGTCATAAGCTAATGCAAGTTTTTATAGTAATTATTTTATCAAATCATATGTACCTATTATTTATTTTTAATTATAATTTCGGAAATGTATAAGCTAATTTTGGAAAGTTTTGTAAATGAGAACTTATTATTTCTTACCATTACTTAAGCTATTATTAACATTTAGTATGAGAACATTTTAAAAAGCGGCCTCCTTTAAATATTAATCCATTCGTTTTACAAAGAGAGGTCTAGTTTGACTTGAGATGAAATATAAGAAAATAAATAAGTCTTTTAAATTTTGTGGTCCTAAATTAAAGGGATAAAGATCTGGTATAATTAGGCCAAGTAATACTCAATAACCTTATAAATTTATGTGATGATATTATATAATAATAAATTTATGTCATGATATTATATAATAATTTATGATTGAGATTCATTTAAATTATATATTCATTATAATATTAGCTAATAAAATAACAAAGTTGTCAACTTTTTTAATTTTTTAAAACTATCAAATAAAGCAATTAAGTGTACTAAGCTAATATTTTCAAGAAAAAAATTAAGACTAACGGGAATATGCGAAGTTCCTTACTCTTTATCTGCCAAACTTCTTCATGAGTAATTTCGCACATGCTTTCTCCAAATTCTGAAGTAATCTCCAAAATTAAATCAAACTTAAAAACATCACTCAGTTTAAAATACTAATTCAATTAAATAACATGATAATACATTAAAAAACTTATTTGGAGGTTTTCAAATAATTATATATCTATTTAGATTCTTCAAATGTGTCGAATTCTTTAAAATTGGAATAAATAAAAAAATTCAATACAAGTACGAGATTTGACGGGTAAAAAAGTCGAGAAGTCCACATATTCCCACCAGTCTTATTTTTTTCTTTAAAATATTAGCTAGAGTACACTTAATTATTTTATTTGATGGTTTTAAAAAATAAAAATAATTGATGGCTTTGTTGTTTTTATTAGGAAAAATGCACAAGTACCCCCTCAACCTGTGCCGGAAATCTCAGAGACACACTTATACTATACTAAGGTCCTATTACTCCCTTGAACTTATTTTATAAGTAATTTTCTACCTCTTGTCGGCCTACGTGGCACTGGCTTGAAAAAAAAAAGTCAACTAGCATTGGACCCACAAGATAGTGTCACGTAGGCTGAAAAGGGGTAGAAAATTATTAATAAAATAAGTTCAAGGGGGTTATATGACCTTAGTATAGTATGTGTGTCTCTGAGATTTCGAATATAGTTGAGGGGGTACTTGTGCATTATCCCTTTTTATTATTAAAATGAGTATATAATTTAAATGGATCTCAGCCATAAATTATTATATAGTACACATGACATAAATCTATAAGGTCATTGAACATTACTTGACTTAATTATATTTAACTGAATCATAATTCAAATTAAAGTTATGTCAAGTGTACAAAATTGTCTTTTAATCTAATGACCTTAAACATGCCACGTGGAAACTGAAATTAAAATGTTACCAAATAAAGAAAGAGGTCATTATTTCTTAAACAAACTAAAAAAGAAAGGAGATCATTCTTTTTTAAATGGAGGGAGTAATTGTTTCTAAGTTAACGTAATCAAGAATTTGAAATGTTTTGACGTATTGTTTATTTTTACACAAAAAATTATTTTAAAACCAGGAACATGTAATTAAACCTTGGGTGAATTATAATTTATAACATTTAATACAATGAAGGGATAAAATGTTAATCCAACTTTAAAATTGAAGTTTTACACTTTTAATAATATATATGATAATAAAAAATATAAAATAATAATATATTTCTTTTTTCCTCACTCAGTGTCCAGTGCTAAAATTGAATCCTCGATTAAGTCCAAATTTGGAGGTGACAATCCCTAAAAAAATTTATTAATACTCAAGACTCAAATCTAATTGATTGAAATGAATGAATTAAGCAAGTGGGTGGGGACTTTAAAGACTACTTTGACATTCACATGTTTGTGGGTAGATTGTAAGATATTTGGCAGTGGTTGGGCATGTGGATTAAATTATCCTGAAATTATAGTCCTCAGGTTATAATCCACAATTAAGTCTAGTATATAATTTATATTGCTTTTGGTAGAATGTATAAATTTATTTATCTTTTTTATTCTTAGTATATCATAAATCTAATTTTAAACTTAATCATGAGATATATTTAACCAAACGACAGAGAACATGGAGAGGAGAGGCGGCCCCGGATGAGTTGGTGAATGTTACACGGTTGAAAAAAAAAATTCATTTAAGTTTGAAAGTTCAGATAATAAAATATAAAATATAAATATTTATAATACAAACGCATATGAATAGATGAAATCACCGAACCTTTTAAAACTTTTTTTCTTAACCATATCTTTGACAGGTAAGTGAGAAACCCATTTATATATTTTAATAAAATGAAATATTTTGGAACTCGTAATTTGAATCTCTTCATATGCCGATATACATTGGGATACACCAATTAGTAGTAAATTACAACTAAATCTTTTTTAGAATAAGATTCAGATTATTTATGAAGCAAAGTAATAAAAGTGACAGTTAATCAGTACTATTCTTCAAATTAATTATGTCCTGCTCCTAAGAGCAAAACCCTACTCTGGTGCTGAAAGCAAATATGCTTTTAAATTTTACTTCAACTAATATTTAAATTTTTTAATTTTGGATATGTTTAAGTAAATGTTTAAATTTGTGTATAATTGAATAAATAAATATGTGTCGTACATGACTTTATAGACACTCAGGGTGTATTTGGTATGAAGGAAAATGTTTTCTTAGAAAATGTTTTCCCGAAAAAAATTAGATATTTGACTTATTTTCTCATGGTTGGTTGGTGAGTAAAAAACATTTTTCAGAAAAATATTTTAGTGTTTGATTTTTGAATGAAAAATATTTTTGAGAAATATCTTTTATTTTTTACTAGAGTACAAAATAATTTTTTGAAGTTAACTTTTTTATAAAAAAAAACTCAATTTTTTTCGTGGTGGGGGGTGAGGGGTTCGAGGGTAGGAGTAAAAAAAATTAAAATCTAAAGTTGATTTTTTTTAAAAAAATATTTTTTTTTGGAGGGGTGGGGGCTGGTAAGGGGCTAGTGAGGTGGGGAGGGAGCTGGTAGGGGTGGATGGGTGGGTGGGGGGCTGGTAGGAGGTGTTTGGAAGAGAGTATTGGAAAAAAAAAATTCTTATGTTTTGAAGGAAAGTCATTTTCCTTAAATTTGAGGAAAATTAGCCGATTTGGAAAAATTTTTTAAAACATCTGACACAACCAAACATGAGAAAATTGGGATTGAACTTTCTTCAACCTGATGATTTAGCATACAAGGTTTTATTTTTTTCCTTCAAGTTTTTGTTTTCTAAACTGAAAAATAGAAGTGGAAATAAGATGCAATTTGCTAATTCAGGTAGTTTAGAAAGAAGATGTAGTGAAAGGATATGGACTTTTAGAGACTCAGGCAGAAAGGAGAAATAGAAGGGGTTGGGGGTTTTCAAAATTGATATTTGTAATGCACAAGATGTTTTCAAAAATGTCACAATTGGAAAATCAAGACTTTCTTTGTATAATTCACAATTTTGCCAAATTTTGTGTGGTCTGGGGTTTATCCCCAAATTTTTCTGTAATTTTTTTCTGTGGGTTTCACAATATGGAAAACTGATGATATTGAAAGTATGATATTGTTTTTTGCAAAAAAAATAAAAAGGAAAATGCATCACATAGTTGGAACAAAGAATACTACTTTACCTTCTGCATACAACTGGTATTTTCTTCGTATTGTGTTGCTAAAGTCTTCTGTAATTATCTAAACTGAGCTACCAAATTTGACTGCCCTCTTTCAGGTTTCTGTACGTGTACTTGTCATTACTATTCACAAGTGTCTTCAACTTCCTGCACTATTGTAAGTGTCGATTTTTCGTTTTTACTACAATTATATTCGATTAACTACTTTGCTCTGCAGTTTCTTTAGTTGTTTTTAGTAAGCATGTGTCCAAAATTTCCACTTCTCTTCCCTTTAGTTATAATAAATGCTTGACTTTTCTTTTGGATTGCCTTCATTATATAAAAGCTATCTACATGCCTAAGCTTTGAGGAGTCACGCCATCCTTGATCAAGTCGTGATTCTTTTTTAGATATCCGTTGCGTATACATAAAAATGCATCGCCTACTTTATTAATTGGCATTGTTATGTGCTGCTGGCTCCCAACTTCTATATGCCTATGCTCACATACTACTTACTATGTATTCTCCTCTGAATAGACAATTGCTTCAACCGAATCCCTGTATTAGACACTATTCTGCGAAATGATTTACTGTTCTGCCACTTGATTTGTTATTATCGTTTATCTCCCTTTACAAGTCTGAGAGCTATAATAACCTCTACATTACTTACCGACTCAAATTAGTGTTCTTTTTATTAGTATTTACATTTGATTGAATTGAAAAACTTTACCCAACAGAGCTAATAGCTGAAATCAATTTATGATAGAAGTCTATAGGTCATTTTGTTTTATCAACATAAAAAAAATTCATTCAACAAAAATATATTATACCAATCAAGAGACTGATTGAAGTGATACTACATATTCTTTAGTCTTCAACTGTTAAATATTTTCCAACTATTGACACTAAACTGCTAATTTCTATTCCATCTGTGTTATTGTGACTACTATTCTTAAGTTTGTACGCTTTCCTGTTACTACACTTCTACACTTTTGTAAGTTTCACTATTTTTTTTTCCAATTCATTTATGCTATTGTGAGAAGTGCCAAAATTTTCATTTGTAAATCCTAAATTTTAGACTAAACAAAATGGAAATTTTTCAACAATGGCTACTTACCGTTGGTATGAAAAACGGTGGCAAGTCTAACGAGAAAATGTACTCAAAAAGGATTCTAGAAGTAAAGCACGGAAGAGTTTAGTTTAATGTTCGTGTTGATTGTTGATATTAGCTCAAAAACAAGGAGAAAATGGAAACGATAATATACGCATTCGGATTTTGTAGCTATAGGTATTTGAGATTGAATATATTTGGTCAATTAGGCTAGAAGAAGCAAATAAGTATGTAGTGTAAAAAGCTGATGCAGTACCTAAGTTTGCTCTATTTTAATGAATTTTGGACTTTGGAACCTCATATTAATTAGATTTGTGGTATAAGTTGCTCTGTTTACTGTTGAGTGATTTGAAGATTTGAGTCGAGAATTTTGAGGTTTTAAGTTTAAATTCTAATGAAAGCAAATATATTAAGTGATATATTTCATATTTTTAAGTTTTAGTTGACAGACTTATCAAACAACTATCTTTGATTTAGAAGGGTGCTAGGTGAACTTAGTCGAGGTAGTGAGGGTGTTATGTGAAATTAATCGAGGTACACACAAGCTAGAAATAGCAAAATATTGTATAAGATTAATCGAGGTATGCATAAGCGAATCCAGATACCACATTATCAAAATAAATCTTGCCTAGGGGTGTGCATCGGTCTGTTCGGTTCGGTTTTACATATTATCGGTTCGGTTTATCGGTTTTTGGTTTTAAAATATGCTAACCCAATAACAAACCAATAAATTTTTTTTTATCAATTTTTGATTTATCGGTTTTTGATGTTATCGGTTCGGTTTTTGGTTAATCTAATAAGAAAATGTCGATCAAATAATATATAATAGTACGTATGTTATAATTACATGTTACCAACTTACCGCCAAAACATAATAGGAAGCTTTGAATGTTGATCAAATTACTAACATTCACAAACTTGCAAAAACTATCGCCTACAATTACGAACTAGAATTAAAACTAAAATAAAATATTTCAATTAGATAATCTTGACAGTTGCTCGATCCACCAGACAATTAACAAAGTTCTCACCAATTTCTTCACAAAAAAATCACATAGCCTGAAAAAGAAAAAGACAGTCACTAGTTTAATAGACTATTAGAGTACATCTTTACATTTAATGACAAAATTGAACACACTTTGATGATGAACATATTTAATGAAATAGGCTCCATAAATGCATAACATCCACATTCAAATAACACGGTAAGTTGCATACTATTAGGCACAATTACTCGATTAACATTCTATTTTAATGAGCAACTAATCCATTTATAGTATCATCACGTCCCTTAATTGACTCCAAACACTTCTAAAATAGTAAATATGTATCATGTGTAGAGTAAGTTAAGCTTAACAATATGTAATATCTGACCTCATTTTCTAATTTATTATCTTGACAAAAGTCTTATGCTTTGAAAATCAAGTAAATACATTACTTAGAGCAACTTGTAGCTAGAGTGGCTTACCAAATATCAAGATCCAAGTGCAAAAAAGGAATAATTTTAACTCCAAATTAATCATCCAGAATGCTAGTATTAGCCAAACTATAAAGAATTTACGTTAATCAACCAAAAATATGCTTATGACGAATCACAATAACAATTAAAACTATTATAATTAAAATATCATTACCTTGTTCAAGTTGTTCGAGGACATCTATATCTTCCTCAACACTTATAGGTCGTGATTCACTTCTTATCCAATCTTGAAGGCACACTAGAGTTTGAACTAATTTAGGAGTTAATGAAATCCTAAATGAATCGAAGATACGTCCACCAGTACTAAATGTACACTCGGATGCCACACTTGAAATGGGAATAGCTAGCACATCCCAAGCCATCTCAGCAAGAACGGGAAATCTGGGTGAGTTTATTTTCCACCAAGACAAGATGTTGAAGTTCTTGCTTTCAACTTCATGTTCTTCAGCAAGATATTTTTGCAATTTTGTTTTTACAGTTGTTGTATTTTCAGCTTTATGTTTCATTAGATCACCCATGAATGTCCCTAAAGATCCTATCCATTGGAAAACACTGCCTGAACTTGAAAGCAATGAACTGGAATTTTCAAATGAAGAACTAGATAAAGATAAAGAGTGTTGACGACCTTTATCTTTAGAAAGAGATTTTACATATTCACCAAACAACAACTCCATGTAGTCTCTAACTCATTTCTCTAAAATTGGAGCTTCTTTCCCAAACATCATTTGAAGTGCAAAGCCAACTGAAACAAACTTGTGACGAGGATCCAAAACGCAAGATATAAAAATCATTTTGTTCATCTTCTTTGGAGTACCCCAATACTTATTAAAATTTTCTCTCATATTTGAAGCAATTTTACCCAAAAGATCATCACTATCATCTTCACTTAATATCAATTGTTTCAAATAACAAGAAACCTCACAAATTTTAAGAAAATGTGAGTTTGTTGTGATGTAGTGTGATCCAGATACTTCTCTGGTAAGATCATGAAAAATTTGAAGAAAATTAGCAATTTTCCTTACATTGTCCCAGTCATCACTCAAAAGGGCACCAACAGCGCTTCCATTTTCATCCTTTCCATCTTCATCCTCAACAAACTTAAGGTAATGTAACAAGCCAATATCACGAGCAGAATAGCTGGAAAACGCATTTTCAAACTCAATATCTCTATTTAACATCAAGTATGTGGAGTTCCATCTTGTAGAAACATCCAAACTTAAAGATTTCTTACAATTAATATCAACATCTTCACAACATTCTTGGAACCTCTTACACCTTGCAGGAGAACACCTTATGTATTTAACTGCTTTTCTAACCCGTTCAATAGACACAACAGACACCTTCAAACCATCTTTAACAACAAGATTTAGAATATGCGTCATACACCTCACATGAAGGTGTTCTCCATTCATGAAATTGATCCCCCATTTAGTGAACATCTTAGACAACTCTTTCACAGTCACGTCATTTGAACTAGTGTTATCGACTATGATGGTAAATATTTTATCTAAGCCCTCATCACGTAAACACTTAATGATCTCATTAGCCATATCTTTACCTTTATGGTTGGAAATTGGACAGAAGTTGATTATCCTCTTATGCATAATCCAATCATTATCGATCCAATGTGCAGTGATATACATATAATTAATCCATTGCAAAGAGGTCCAAGTATCAGTTGTCAGACATACTCTTTGACGTGCTTCTCCGAGAAATCTCTTCAACTTTTGCTTTTCTTCATCATAAAGCTTAAAACAATCACATGTCACAGTGGTACGAGAAGGAATCTTGAAATGAGGTTGCGCTACTTTCATAAAATTTCTAAAACCTTTCTTCTCGACAAACTTGAATGGTAGTTCATCCACAATTACCATGCGACATAAAGCTCTCCTACATTGTTCTTGCTCAAATTTCTCCAGGAAACAACAACCACATCACATGTATTCCCTCCTTGAACAGATTGAAAGCCTATTTGAGTTTGACTTTTGTCAACAACTCTGGGCATCTTTGTACATGTTAACATATGAGTAAGCATTGCCTTTGTACCATTTTTAACTTAATCAACAAAATAATCTTGGCCGCAATGCTTACACTTTGATTTCTTATTTCCTTCTTCATCAACAAATGTTTAAAAATTATTCCATGCTCGAGACCTTTTCTTTCTTTCTTTTGTAACCTTTGGCTGAACAGATTGTGTTTGACGCATAACATTTGAGTTAATACTTTCATCACCCAGGATCACTACCTCATTCAGTTGAAATATTTTTAGCCATTTGTGTGTCTCTGTAAAATATGTTTTCAACAATAGTCACTAATCATGCAGCAAAAATGAAATAATTTCAAGGTAAACTAAAGAGAAACTAAAGAGATTTTAAAGGAAGTATTGAACATTGCTGAAAAGGAAAAGACTTCTTAAGAAAAATAATCAAATACTTACCAAATTTAGTCTAAATTAGGGTGTTTGATTCTGATTGTATATATTATTTCAGAGCAATATCATATTTTTGAGAAATTGAGTATGGAGAAATAAGAATAAAATAGAGATTACAGAAGAAGAAATTACACAAGGATAGACATTAGAGAAGAAGAGAAATTAGAAAAGGTTAAAAAATCCTCACCGTCGTTGTTGTTGTTGCAAAACCTCCTCGAAGACTTGTTGGTTCTTGGATTGTTGCGGACTTGCCGCCGTTTCTAACCCTACAAAGTAAAGACTAAAGGCGCCAAAAGTATAAGTACTAACTATTGAGATACTGAAAAACTAATATTGAATCTATTTATGTATTAAATTATGTATATTTAATATTAAGGAAGGGTAAAGTAGTAAATAACTAGCGTCTTATTGGGTTATCGATTTACCCAATAACCAAATAGGAAAAACCAAAATCGACCCAATAACCCAATAATTATTTTTTCTAAACCCATTAATAACCCAATGACCCAATAACAATAATCCAATAAAATTTTATCGGTTCGATTTATTGGTCGGTACGATTTTTGCACACCCTTAATCTTGCCTGTTTAAATAGGAGTCCTCCCCATCATAGTTGTACAAAATAGTAGCACTAAGTACCAAATAGCAACCGGGTGATTGCCTAGCAAATAATACAAGGTTCAACTGCAGTAGACATCTAAATCTTATCCATGGCATGACAAGTAGAAAAAGGACTACTTGAAAACCTTGTGATACATGCCTTCATCATGAACCGTACAACAGTTCATTTCAACTTGAGACTAACAAGACCAGCAGTATATGCAACAACGTATCCGATGTAATTCCACAAGTGTGGTATAAGGAGGGTAGTGTGTATGCACAAGCCTCACTCCCTACTTTGGAGTTAAAGTGATTGTTTCTGATAGACCAACATCATAAGCACCAATTGAAATATGAAGGAAACATGAAACATACTTATGCATCACCCAGTTTACCAGCAGTTCTTACTGAGTATCTGTAACCCCCAATCCCAAAATAACACATTCCACGCAGTACAAATAATTACAACAGATTCTTGAAGTTAAAGAAGCTAACATAAGTAGAATACTTGAGGCATTGTAGAGATTGTGTAACTGTATATATTGAGTTTAAGCTCGATTCATTTGTAGATTTTGTTGAATACATATAATTTCTTGATTGTCATTGTACTTCTTTCTAAGCAAAATGTGGTAGGTATTGTAATGGATTTTCTATTTGTAATTCCTATTTTATCCATGAATACTTATTTACATTTTCTTATCTATTCCATCCACCTGGTCTTGGTAATTGTAAATCTCACTTTTTTGTTTACACTTCTTTGGTCTTTCTTTTGTTGTGACATTTTTCTTTTTGAATTTAAAATTTACATTACCTTTTCAATAAAGTCAGCAGTTGAAGTTCTTTTCGCATCAGGGAGGCATTGGTGTTATCGCGCTGTTGCAAACAGATTCTACAAGCCATAATCTATATGCCAATCACCAAGTCCGACCAACTCCTATGAAATTTTGAAACTTATCAGTGAATTTTGAAGCGGATCTTTAGATTCATAGTTGTTTTACATTTATCTACTTTCTAAAGATAACATAAGTTTCTCTTTTTGTTTTTTTAGGTGCATGATGCAGAGAAGTGGAAACTAAAAAACTATTGTGGTATTAATAGCAAAAGAGATGAGGCCAGTTTGATTAAGCATCAGGCAAAGACAACTTCGTTGCTGGCTATAAAGTTGCCTGAGGTGACTGAAGACTTCCTATCGACGAAGGTGATGTGCCCTGCACGAATGATCTACAAAGAGTCAATTAAAGCACGAGCGTCTCACACGATAACACAATGCTATTCGCAGGTAAGTTTCCAAAGGCCTGTGAAATAATTGTAGGTACAACAACAAATAGAAATGAAAAAAATATGAAGAATAGTACTAGAATTATCATGCTGGAAATTGGCAAAATCCTTATAACTGTGATTTGTGAACTCTGTGTTTGTTTTCTTTACTAAAAAAATTTGGATGAGAAGCTGAAATTGATTTTCTATTGCTGTATCAATTCTTTAATAGAGAAAGTAAATCACTGCAGTATGAGTTGCAAAATACATTGAGTGTGATATTAGTTGCTAAATAAACCTTTGTCTTGGTTTATCTACTCAATTTGATGAGATTTGAGTTGCTGAGGTTCCACATTCTAATGTGTTATTGAATATTGCTTTTGCATATTTTATACATTTCTTTCAAAATCCTTCATTGTGCATATTTAATGAAGAGAACGACAAGAAAGTGAGTGGTAATTGCTAAATTCATTGAGAAGATTCATTGTAGCAAAGGCGCAACTAGAACTTTGACTCTTATGTTTTATGGTTGGTGAGGAAATAGAAACCATAAGAATCGTTTAAGTTAAGATTGTTTATCAGTTAATCTAAATGCGCCATTTTTTTCATTCCTTTTTTCCTTTCATGAGTGACTTGCATTCCATTTGGTAAGGTTCTTAAATATTTTTGATTTGATTATCTCTTGCTAAAACACATCTAATTAAATTGGAAAATTAGTACGCTTAGCTTCTCATACCATGTGCATATTTGTATTTTTATCCAAGATGACATTGCAAGTCATTTATTCTATTTCCTTTTTTTTTGCAGTTGTTCTTCAATATTCTCATCTACAATGTCGATTATATGAAGACAGAAGCACTATCGCATACCTATTTGCGGACCAGCCTTTTAGAATGTTACCTATAACTATTACATATATAAAATTTAGTGTATAGATAATTTTGTTCTCCATCGTCATCTTTTGGGGTTAAAATTGATCTTATTTCATTATTTGTGCGAACAGGTCAATGTTGACATTTGAATGATAAAGAATGTCACTTACAATAGTATTGGTCACTTCACAATAATAAAGACCTCTTTAAACTTTTACATACTTTTTTCACCTTTTTACATTACATATTCCCTTTATCTCTAGCACGAGCCTTGTCATTCTAGTTTTTATAGATATGACGGTAGCATTTGAATGATAAAGAATGTCACTTACAATAGTTTTTGGTCACTTCACAATAATAAAGACCTCTTTAAACTTTTATATACTTTTTTCACCTTTTTACATTATATATTCCCTTTATCTCTAGCACGGGCCTTGTCATTCTAGTTTTTATAAATATGAAGGTAACATTTGAATGTTAAAGAATGTCACTTACAATTGTTTTGGTCACTTCACAATAATAAATACCTCTTTAAACTTTTATATACTTTTTTCACGTTTTTACATTACATATTCCCTTTATCTCAAAATAAAATTGTGTGTTTATTTTTCCTTTTATTTCAAAATAAATTGTATTTTACATCATAAAAAAACTTTAATCATGTTTCTTTTTTCAATTTTTCCTAATTTAATTAAATTAGGTCAAAGAATTATATCTTTTTCAATATATATTGAAGATAATTTGATAAAAATAACTTACTTTATTGCTACATCTCAAATTGAAAACGAAAATTGACTTACTACGAGAATATAAATATCATAAAATTGAAGAGTAGATAATATAATGAAATTAAATTTTTATATATAAAAGACAAGAACTTTTCATATAATGAAAATCCAACAAACTAAAGTAAAAATATGGTGTAGTGTAGTGTTAGTAGTATTTAATACACTTGTTCTATGTATGTAATTTAATTTTGAAATAAGAAACTTTTAGATGCCTCTTAGACAGTTTAACTTATGTCTCAGCAGTGATGAGAGAAAGACATTAAGAAGAATTAAGTAATACAATTTCAAATATGAAATAAAAAGAATAATTTCGAAAAAAGTTTCATGAAATAAAAACATTATGAATTCATATAGACAAAAATGGAGGAATATCTTTTTAAAAATATAAATAGTTCTTTGTGTGTGTAATAGTAATTACGTTAGTGTGACTAGCACCGACGTGAAGTCTCCATGGGAAAGGGACGAGGACGGGCTAGCAGTGTTTGGGAGCTCAATTGGAAGCAAAAAGCAGCGGCGACGAGTGATTCGGCAAAAATGGATCCAGTAAAGACAATGGGAAACTAGCGCAAAGAGCAAAACAAGTGTAATAGTCAATGGAACAGTACCCAATCTCCCCAAAGGAGTCGAAAACATGCAGATTTTGATAATAGGCCAATTATTTTGAAAAAATGATCTGCTGATTTTGATTTCATTAAAGAGTTCCTAATTACTGAAATACCATTATGGGTTAGTTTCCCCAATTTGCCTATGAATTGCTGGAGTTGCAACTCTCTAGCCGCATTGCTAGTGCTATGGGAAAACCTATATATACCTTTGAGTGTAACACCAAACAAACTACAATATCATATGGAAGGATGTTGATTAAGAAAAATGTGACCAGACCTCTCCCACAAGTAATTATAGTGCATAATCCTAATGGAAGACAATTTGTGTAGGAAGTATGCTTTGATTGGAAGCTCGAATTCTGCAAAAATTGCTTCAAAATAGGTCACGACTGTGACGTCTATCCTCATATAAGACAAGATGATGTTACCTCAGATTGTAGAGCCACAATTTGAGCAACCAAAAAGAAAGAAGAGGCATCTCAACATTTGTCTTATGGACAAAAAAATTTAGTATTTGCTAAATATGGTGTGTATTGGTGCAACATGCGAAAATGGTGCAAAGTGCACCTTTTGAGCAATCAAAAGATCCATTCACTTCAATCCATGAGAAAACAACAAGTTGAACTTCTTATTGAGTCGCTTAAAAATGAAGCTCGTGATCGTGTAGTTGTTGATCTTAGTGCAAAGGTTACGTCCTTGAATGCTAACTTAACTTGCTTAATGGTCTTTGGAAAGAAGTACATGGATGAGGACTTGGACAAGAGGGGATTCAAAGATCTTGTTCAAGATATTTTGCATTTAGCACGTATGCCAAATCTTGGTGATTTTCCCCCCTTCCTTGGTGCTATTGATCTCCAAGGTATCACTCGCAAGCTCAAGGATCTTTCAAAGGTGTTTGATGAGTTCCTTGAGAAGATTATTGATGAACACGTTCATGCTCATGAACAGAAGCAAAATAAGGACTTTGTGGACACCATGATGGACATAATGCAATCTGGAGATGCAAAATTTCAGTTTGACCGTCATCACATAAAAGCTATCCTTTTTGTATGTACTTTCATTTCATTATTATACACACCACAAGCCTTGAGAATGAAATGGTTTATATTAATTGATTCCCCTGTTTCCTATTTACTATACAGGACATGCTTATAGCTGCAGTGGACACTACAGCTTCATCAACGGAATGGATACTCACCGAGCTTCTTAGGCACCCCCATGTGACGAAGAAACTCCAAAAGGAGTTGCAAGAAGTGGTAGGCCTCGATAGAATGGTGGAAGAATCCGACCTAGAGAATTTAAAGTACTTAGACATGGTTGTAAAAGAGGGCCTGAGGCTGCATCCTGTAGCGCCAATACTTCACCATGAGTCCATGGAAGACTGTGTAGTGGATGGTTTCCACCTACAAAGGGGATCCCGAATGATAGTAAATTGTTACGCGATTTATATGGATCCAAATGTTTGGCTGAGCCTGAGAAGTTTTTGCCCGTTGGGAGAAGTATAGATTTTCGTGGACGTGACTTCCAACTTGTACCATTTGGCTCTGGGAGAAGAAGCTGCCCTAGGATGCAGTTGGCAGTTACTGTTGTCCGCCTTGTGGTGGCACAATTGGTGCACTGCTTTGAGTGGGAGCTTCCAAGTTGTATCAGCCTTGTAATTTAGACGTTGATGAGCAGTTTGGGATAGTAATATGCAGAGAAAAGCCTTTGCTGGCTATTCCTACTTATAGATTAAAGAAATGATGCAAATAGTATTCACTGACATATGTGTATGGTGATTTATCCCATTCCAATTGCAAATAAAGAACAAAGCAGACTTTCCATGATTGGCAAGCTCATCTAGTTGAATCATTCATGTGGGGTTAATTTGACTTTTGATACACTACTATTAATAATGCTAGTCCTTTTTTTTTGTTAGAAAATGTTTATGACTTTGTAAATAGATGCATATTCCTTCTAAGAATAATGTAATCGTAGGGGCTTTGAACGTTTTTTTAGGAGGAGAATTTGTGAGACACGAGTGATATATTATCATTTGTGTGAACCTCTAGTTATGCTAAGTGAATTTGTGAGGTTAATTCTCTCAATATTGTGTACTCTCTTTTATATATAGTGGATTAGTGTTCTGTGAAGGAATATTGATTGTATTGAAGTGTTAAGGGAATACATGTGAGATATATATAGGAGATATAGGAAGCAGTACTAATTCTAATAGGACTAGGATTAAGGAGAACTAATCCTAATAGGACTAGGATTAGTACATAGTAAATACTAATATTATTTTATAGTATTTATTTAATACTATCTGTTATTATCCCCCCTCAAGCTGAGCTGAGCGGAAGCGAACGGAAGCTTGGAACTGAGGTAATCGTGCTGTTGGCTCGGGAGAGAATATCAGACGGTTGTTCTTCAGTGGGTACATACTGCACAGTCATGGTGCCGACCTGAACTTCATCGCGAACAAAGAGACAATCGGTATTAACATGCTTCATTCTGGTGTGTAGGACGGAATTCATGGCCACACAGATGGTTGATTTGTTGTCACAATAGAGAGCAAGAACAGTGTGAGTGGCGCGGAGTTCGCGAAGAATATATGTGACCCACATGGTCTCAGTAGCAAGAAGATCAAGGGCGCGGTATTCAGCTTCAGTCGAGGACCGAGAGACCTTGGGTTGTTTTTTTGTACACCAGGAGATCAGGTTCAGCCCCAAAAAAACGAGAAACCCCGATGTAGATTTTCTGTCATTTTTATCATTCGCCCAATCTGAATCTGATAAACCCCGAAGCTCCAAGTCCCCGGGCCGAATGAGTAAACCACGACCAAGAGTGCCAAAAATGTACCTGAGCATGCATTTTAGACAATGGTAATCATATTCACTTTGTTGATGCATGCGCTGAGCAACTCGGTTGACAGCAAATTGGATGTTAGGACGGGTAATGACCAGATACTGTAGAGCCCCAATGAGGCTGTGGAAGTGGGTGATATCGGCAAAGGGGGTGTCGGCTCTATTCGTAGACAAAGAGACTGCCATCGA